CAAACACAACCTGCTCTATTGCCTCCCCACCCTCTCAGGGTAGAATTCCTTCCCAAGATCCCATCTGACCCTGCCCTCTTGTCCTGGCCCTCCAGGCCCTTGCCCACAGTGTCTCTCCATCTTTCCTGTTGGCTCCTTCAGGCACTGGGAGGTCACACTTAGGTCACCCTGGAGCCTCCTCTTCCTCAAGCTGAACAATCCCAGCCTTTCCCCACAGTGGAGCTGCTCCCTCCCTCTGGTACCCTGGGTGCCTCCTCTGGACTCTCTCCAGCAGCTCCAGGTCCTTCAGTCCAAATCCAGAGGGAATGCAGAGCTCAGGGGAGCAGCCATGGGTTTGGGTTTAGCTGTTTATCACTGCTAACAACTTCAAGTGCAGCACTGAGGGGGAGGAAGAATATCCTCTAAAACCTCTAAAAAGAAACACACTCCTTTGCATGATTTATGAAGTGAATTTGAACTGATCAGGGCATGACCTTTTCCAGGAAGGGGCATCCACTCCTAACGCAGAGCTGGAGGCTTTACAAGCACCACCAATAAAGCCAGGAGATGAAGAGTGATTTATTAGTCACCAGCAACTTTCTAAGCATCTTTATAAGCTCCAGGAGGTGGGTATCCAGCACCATGAGGAAAATGCAGCTCCAGCAGCCTGCAGTGCTGTACAGCAAAGTGCTGACAGCCAGAAGGCACAAGAGCACGGCCATCCACAGCTGAATTTCCATAAACTGTGCTCCCATTTAGCTTCAGGCTCAGTTAAGCATTTCACTGTGGGTGGGCTATAGGCTGGACTCTCAGAGCAGTGCAGACACACTGCACATTGCATCCAGCTGCCTACAGAGCTGGCATGCCAAAATTTGCACCAGTCCTACTTCCAAAGGCAGGAGTGGGGTGGGAGACAAGGAGAAAGTTTATTTCTTACTGGGGGTGTGTGTGGTGTGGGGGTAGGTACCAAATCCTGCCAGCTCACAGTGAAAGAAGGGTCAGCAGTGCCTTGCTGGGTCAGAACCTGCTGAAAAATGGGGTTTTCCCAGCAGGTCACTCATGGATCAGGGGTTCCCCAGCTCCAGAAGCCTCTCCCTTCCAGCTGCAGCATCACCTGTACCTCGTGGCACATCACTATCACAACAGCCTGTCACCTTCAGTCCACTTGTGCACCCAGAATTTGCATTTGCAAACCAGCACCTTTGTCATTTCTTTTACATTGCTCCCAAACTCAGAGGGAACCCAAGAAAAACAGCTGGGAAACCAATTCCTCCTCCTTTGGAGAACCATCCCTGTGAACTCGCTGGAAGAGTTGAGTTACACCATCACTGCTCTGTTTCCACTACTGGAGAGGGACTTTGGACATGGGCCTGGAGCGACAGGACAAGGGAAATGGTTTCAAACTAGAAGAGAGTGGGTTTAAATTGGATACTGGGTGAAATTCTTCCCTGTGAGGGTGGGCAGGCCCTGGCACAGGGTGCCCAGAGCAGCTGTGGCTGCCCCTGGATCCCTGGAAGTGTCCAGGGCCAGGTTGGACAGGGCTTGGAGCAGCCTGGGACAGTGGAAGGTGTCCCTGCCATGGAAGGGGTGGCACTGGATGGGCTTTAGGGTCTCTTCCAGCCCAAACCACTCCATGATTCAATGGTACTGGAATGCTGCTGTCTCCTTGATCCTCCCTCTTTCTCAGTCTGTTGCCTAAATTCATATTTAAGGTAGATTTACTAAGGCATTGACTTTCTCCTGGTATTGTATTTATGTTCTGATAACACAGCAGTGTCCTTGTCCATGAGGCACAAAGGACTGGGAATACATTTCAGTATTTTCTCTGCTTATCAGATTCAGATTATCACCAAAGTCAATATTGAGGATCACAGTAGTTTACACCTACCAGTGATTCCACAAGATATCAGCCTCTGGACAGTAAAACATCATTCCTGACATTCTCAGGGATTTGCCAGTAAGAATTTGGGGCAATTTGAAAATAGCAAAGGGTGGCACAAACACTTCTGGAGTCTCCCAGTCTGTGAGGGGCAGCCTTCCCTGAGACTCCACCACCATGTGAAAAACCAGTTGGGAAGGATGGGCTGGACTCAGTCAGGGTCTGGCTGCACACCACATTCCCTGCACGACTTCTCCCTGACCTTGCCTACAGCTTCTCCCATCTCTAGAATGGGAATTACAAACCCTCCTACCTCCCTGCAGCCCATCTGTTTAGTTTGTAAATTCTCCAGGGCAGAGGCTGGTTTTTATTTGTGTGTACAGCACCACATACAGCCAGGTCCTGCTCTTGGCCACGGCTCCAGGCAGGATTGGAACACAAAGCAATGACGGTATCTTGATCAAACATGAACAGCTCGGATAAACAATACAAAAGCAGCTTGATATTTTTTTCCCCGCTGTCTCTGCTTTTCCGTGACTTGTTTATTCATCTCAAAGCCTCAGCAGACATCTAATCAAGCTGTTAAAGAGGCAGATTTGTGGTCAGTCGAGCACTTGGGGAGTTGTTAAACGTTCAAAACCAGTTCTAGTCAGCAAACAGCTTCTTTTTTTTTCCTCCCTTCTCCTGGGTAGTGATATGGTTTCCTTACTCACTGTATACTCCAATTACAATTGGGATACAAGTTCTCTCCTAAAAGGTCTCATTAACTTTGGGTAGGGACACCTGCCTTTTTCAGCCCTATCTTGTTTGCACTTTTTGGTCCCGATCCAAATCACGCCACAGATGAAGCAATGATTTCAGCAGGCTTAAGAAAGAAGGAAAAATGTGATAGTTTCCAGATGAGTGTATTATACTAAATTTAACATGCCTTTTGGTACTTAGAATTTCCACTTTTCCCCCTTCCATTTATGCAATTAGAAATTAAGAGGCAGGAAACCATTCCTACTCCAGCCTCAGCTGGGAAGGGTACAGGCTCCTTCCACAGAAGGAAAAAGGAGACCTGTCCTCACAAGAAGATATTTTGCACAGCTTACATGGACAGGTCCAAAAATAGGTTTAGGATAATACATCTTTAATTAAATAAAGCAAAACAAATACAGACTCTTCACGTGGTAGTTATATGTGCATATACATATATATATATATACATCAACACAGACAAGAAGAAGCAAGGCAGCTGTGAAGAAAACCAAAAGGTTAAGCTTTTATCCTATTTAAAGAGCAATGACAAATTTAAATTCCACTTTTAGAATTGTGCATATTTTCCACCCTCACCCATGTTGATCACCTTTGTTGTGACTGTTCTCACTCTAGCAGTAAAGGACACACTGGGAATTGATATCTACCACGGGTATCTCTGAGTTCCAGGGCCAGAAGAATCACCTGATCACAGGCCAGAGCAGCCCACAGTAAGAATTAACTCTAGGAAGTCACATTTGAGCTGGAGCAGAGCATGTAAGGGCAGGATGACTCATTACCAGGGACCCCAAACAAAAATTGAACTCATCATCAGCCTGAAGGACAGAGCAGGAGCTGAAGCTCTCTCTGCACACTGACAGTCACTGTGTGAGGTGCTGCCACCGCCTTTGGTTCTCCTGGGCCTTGCCCAGGCTACTGCTCCTCTCTCCAGCAGATCCCACTGGCTTCCCAGGCTGCAGCACACACACAGAGAGCTCAATAAAACCCCATTCCAAACCACAGAGGAGCTATGGCTCCAAAGTACATAGTTCAAATTAAAAATTGGGGCTGGATAAAATGATTCAAAATTGGGAAGAAAGAAAGATATCCTGTTTTCAATAAGCTGTTTTGACCTGACTGATGAATGCAGTCCGGCAAGGGAGGAGGTGGAAAAACCAGGACATGCTGGAGCAATGGTCCTGGATGGTATCATGCTCTGACAATCTTAATGCTGCTCTGGCACTGGAGCTCTTTTATTTCACAAGTCCTTTGCTCCAGGCGAGCTCCTCAGCGTCTGTTGACTCTGGGCACAGCTCAACACGTTGCTCAGAGTGCAGGATCCACAGAGCAGTGCCCAGGAGAGGTGGGCATGCAGGGCTGCAGCAGCACCCACACCTCAGGCCTGGAAGATAAGGAGTTTCTCAAGCCCTCTGAACTCCAGCTTACCCCTCGGTCCTTCCCCTTCCTTTCCTGGCACGGTTTAAAAAACAACAATCACACAACTTGTTTTCCTTTCTCCTATTTGCTGTGCAGAACAGGAGGAGTTGCTCTGTCACTTTTCCATCTCTCAGCACTCACCAAGCAGCACCACAGGCTCTCAGTGCAGGCAAGTTCTGCACCAACCTACATCATGTCTGGAGCCATGCACTCACTCCTTGTGCTACATGGACAGCACACAAGTGTGGGACAAAGGAAAGGGATCCTTGAGAGTCATCTCCAGAGCTAGAGAATGGTCTGAGTGAAGCAGTGCAGACAAGCTTCTGAGCCAGGGGAAGAGCAGCAGCAATGTGCCAACAAGGCAGCTCAAGGACTGCGGTGGAGGTAAAGGGAGTGCTTGGAGCAGTGTCCTGCCAAGGCAATGAAGAGCTCTAAGAAGTTGTGACCCATTGCCAGACACTGAAACCTCTCTGCTCTCCCACAGAAGAGGGGTGCAAAAACAATCAGCCTAAAGGGTAAGCTGAGAGCCAGATGGCACAAGGATGTGTTTAACTCACCCACTGTCCTGGGAAGTTTCAAACAGGGGTCACTCCATGACCCAAAGCTACAAGAGACAGCAGGGCCTTGCTGCATCCGTCACACAGTTTGGATTCTGCCTCTTCTGAGAGGACAAAATCCCAATTTTAAAGGGCAACTGTACAAACAGGACATAGGAGTATTTATATTCCTCTCCAAACACCGACACAAGCAGCAGGGGTCTAGAGGGTGATTTATGAGGTGGGAATGCTTCTTTGAACTGGATGGTGGATGGGGGTTGCTCTCAGGCCTGGGGAGGAACAGACGACGCTGGCTTTGCTGAGGAGCTCTCCCAGTGGCCCAGGTGGTCCCAGCTGCTGGCTACTCCAAAGGAAGTTCTCTCCTTCCATTCTCCCTCTCTCTCACTCACATACAAAGTCAACACACCAGAGAAGGCCATTTTTCTTTTATTTATTTCCCAGAAGAGCTCTTCCTTGCACTTTTCAGACACGATACAAAACAAGCAACAGATCTTTGTTTCATAGACAGAAACAGTTTGTTGGAGTATAAAGAGTTACTAGTGATCGTTACTGAAGAATGTTGGCTTATTCCAGGGGCACTTCAGTATTCCTGAGGAATAATCATTGATTTCTCCTTCCTTCCCACTGGGATAGTCTCAGCCATTAGTCACTGTTCCTGTAAAGCAAGAAGGCTTCTATTATTAAAAAGCCATTTGGGTTCCTGACATGGAAGGTGCTGCAGGATGTAAAGCAAGTCACGGAGCTCTGTAACATTTCAGAGGGTAAGGGAGCATTTTCACCCTTTGCTAAAGCAAGAGGTTGTAGATGGAGGAATTAAGCAGCTGTTTTCATGCATAACCCTCCATTCTGATAAACTGGATACTTCAACAAACCCCACAATATTGGTCAAGTTAACTCTTCACAGGCCGAAGAGAAATCAGACTGAGATCAAAGCCACAAAGAGCAAGAGGAAAGGCTGCAAGTTGTGTTCTTGTGTTCTTGCACATCAATATAAATCCACATTCCTATCAAAGCACAGGACCTGTGAGGTTTGGGTGATAATACAGGCTAAATAACCTGAAAACTAGGATATTTTCCATTCTGCACAGACATCTAGGCTGTGTAATACACAGCCATAGCATTTTAAGCCTTGAAATAATTGTGACACGATTTTAAATTCTGCTGAAGTCACAGGGAAAACCACTTGATCAAATTACTTAAAAAACTCAGAATATTCTGACCACAAATTACAACTCTGCTGCACTTTAAGTATTCTTTTGGTCTAGATGAGTGGCTCCTGCACTGGGGTTGGGGTTTCATGGTGGAATGTCTAACCCAAAGGATGGGCAGTGTGATGACCCAAGTTACAACAGCTGCAAAGTCACTGTGACATCTCCTGATTATCCAGTACCTTGAAGGTCCTCTGTCCTCTCTCATTCTGACTCAGGAGTCAGAATTAAGAACTTGATCCTGAAGAATCAACAATCCCAACTGAGTCACCTGGTCTGACCTCACAGCCAACCCCCATGACCTCCCTCAAGTCCTTTCCAACTCGAGTTCTCCTGTGATCCTGTGAACTTGACAGGCTCAGAAAACTAGAAATAATTTTGGCCAAGTTAATCCATGTTACATTTCTGTCTAATAAAGGCAATTTTCTTGCAGATTCTATCATTTTGACTAGTTAGCATTTGAACAGAACTCAGTTTTGTAAAGGAAATCCTACAAAGTTTAGTTACAGCAAATTTTTCTAGGGAAAAAACCAGATGAGTGATAATGCAACAATATCTTCCATGTTCCTAACCAAGAGAAATGAAATAATTTTGTTGTAATAACCCTGGAGCCATTACCCATGACATGACATTTGGGAGGGAATTAATGACATTAACCATTAGATGGCTTCATCTGTGTTTTCTCTCTCTCAGCCTCTTTGTGCCAGAGAAAGTCATGGAGACAGTGCACTGGAAACTGTTTGTCTTGTGCCATGCATGTCCTTCCAGTTAGCTCATGCTTCCAAGGACCACCCTGCTCCAGATTAGTCCTTAATCCAAAGGAAATCCCTTCCTAGGCTGACCAGACAGTGTTTTCTGCTGCCCAACACCCCTAGGAACCAGCATCCTTGAATGAAAGAGGCTCTCTCAGAACATGTGAGCAGTCATTCAGCACTCACATGAAGCCACAGTCATGTCACTCCAGCTTTTTTTTGGAGACATAAACTGGAGGAACACCCTCAGGATGGTGTGCATTACCAACACATTTTAATGTTAACACATCCAGCCACAAGAGCTACAGAGTTTTTATTCTGGGCAGTAGCTGGCAATGCTGAGCAGCTGCATCCAAGCCAGTTTCTCTATATTGCTCTCCAAAGATTTTATTTGTTGGAGAATCTTGTTACTGTTTCCCTTTAACAGGCAGCTGGAGAGAATATTTGCAAGCAGGTATGTCTGGTGGGGCTGCAGGAGGCTGGCCAAAGCTCATCTGCAAAAAAGTAAAACAGGAGGACTGTAAAAGAAGTAAAAAAGCTCATCTGCAAAAAAAAAGTAAATCAAGGAGGACTGGGCTCAACTTGCAGCTCTACAAGCAGCAGGAGAAGGCTGGAAATGCCTGCAGGCCTCCTGAGCAGGCAGAGGAGCCCTCCAGGAGGGAATTCTGCAGCCTGGCTCCTGCATGAGAAGCCCCTGGCAGAATATTTTACCTTGATACGTCCTGAAGTACCTTAAAGTTACTTAAAGGAACTGTAAATATGTGCTGTGATGCCCCTCCAGCAGTGGCACTGAAAGCATTTAACCAGGCCCTGGCTCTGTGGATCCAAAGCACACACACAAAAAAACCACAAAAACATACAAACACCCACACACACAAACACACACACACACAGACACACACACACACAGACACAAACACCCACACAAACAAACACACACAAACACACACACAAACAAACACACACACAAACACACACACAAACACACACACAAACACACACACAAACACACAAACACCCACACCAACACCCACACCAACACCCACACCAACACCCACACCAACACCCACACCAACACCCACACCAACACCCACACCAACACCCACACCAACACCCACACCAACACCCACACACACACACACACACACACAAACACACACACACACACACACACAAACACACACACACACACAAACACACACACACACACAAACACACACACACAAACACACACACACAAACACACACACACACACAAACACACACACACACACACACACACACAAACACACACACACACACACACACAAACACAAACACACAAACACACACCCACACAAACACACACCCACACAAACACACACCCACACAAACACACACCCACACAAACACACACCCACACAAACACACACCCACACAAACACACACCCACACAAACACACACCCACACAAACACACACCCACACAAACACACACCCACACAAACACACACCCACACAAACACACACCCACACAAACACACCCACACAAACACACCCACACAAACACACCCACACAAACACACCCACACAAACACACCCACACAAACACACCCACACAAACACACCCACACAAACACACCCACACAAACACACCCACAAACACACATTCCTTTTGCTTCCAGGTGCCACAGGGATAAATTACCATGAGAAGAGCCCCAGCTCTGACACATGAAGAAATCAAGAAAACACCAATGGAGTCAGTTTGTGATTGCACAAATGGTTCCTGCTAATTAATCCATTCTTAAAAAGCTTACTTCAGCATGGTAAAATATTTTAAAACATTTTACTTCAGTGCTAATACTGAACTCATTGAAATGATCCTCTTCAAAACTGCTTACAGGGTACAACTACTATATTACTGTGCAGACAAACAAGCCACAAAACTTAAAAGTGATCATTGTCTTCATATTGAAAAAAACCCCAAAACCCAACAGAAGATCAAAGATCTGCTTCCACAGGCAGATGTACCTGACGTGACTCTCAGTTCCTTCCCAGTTCATCTCTTTTTAAAGTCTGAAGAACCTTAACAGCAGTTTAGTTTTTCTGCTTTTCTGACATGTATTTTTATTGTGTTTTCAGGTTGTGGGAAAAGCTACCTGCAGGATCTGTTCAATTAATTCCATGTACTCAGTCTAGTAAATCTACTGTTAAACACACCAGATATTCAAGAACAGGGGAGCATTCCAGCTTTGGCAACACAAGTTTCCTCCTACTAGCACTCCTCTGGAACAGGCAGAGGAACACCCATGTAAATGGATAATGTGACTTCAATAAAGCAGTGATAAAGACTTAAGAAGAAAACCAAAACAAAGGTGCACAGCTTTTCTTCAAGCCAGAGAAGAGGAGGAGGTGAGAACATGTGAGGGAAACAACATGGACACACCAAGGCCAGTGGAGAAAGAGGGGGAGGAGCTGCTCCAGGTGCTGGTGCAAGGATTCCTCTGCAGCCATGGTGAGGCCAGGCTGGAGCAGCTGTGCCCCTGCAGGCCCTGGGGATCCACAGAGGATGCAGAGATCCACCCAGAGCCCATGGGGATCCCCAGGGGATGCAGAGATCCACCCAGAGCCTGTGGAGATCCCCAGGGGATGCAGAGATCCCTCCCCAGCCCATGGGGATCCACAGGGGATGCAGAGATCTACCCAGAGCCCATGGGATCCTTGGGGGATGCAGAGATCTACCCAGAGCCCGTGGGGATCCCTGGGGATGCAGAGATCCCCCCCCAGCCCGTGGGGATCCCTGGGGATGCAGAGATCCCCCCCAGCCTGTGGGGATCCCTGGGGATGCAGAGATCCCCCCCAGCCCGTGGCAGAGGTGCCCACACTGCAGTGGGTGGGTGCCTGGAGGGGGCTGTGCTCCAGTGGAAAGATCCCGTGGGGAGAGGGCCCTGCTGCCAGGCTGGAGCTGCGTGTCCTTGCAGGACTGCACTCCATGAAGAGTGACCCACACTGCAGCAGTGTTGGGAGGAGTGTTTGCCCATGGCAGGGACCCACACTGCAGCAGTGTTGGGAGCAGTGTTTGCCCATGAAGAGTGACCCACACTGCAGCAGTGCTGGGAGGAGTGTTTGCCCATGAAGAGTGACCCACACTGCAGCAGTGCTGGGAGGAGTGTTTGCCCATGGAAGAGTGACCCACACTGCAGCAGTGCTGGGAGGAGTGTTTGCCCATGGCAGGGACCCACACTGCAGCAGTGTTGGGAGCAGTGTTTGCCCATGGCAGGGACCCACACTGCAGCAGTGTTGGGAGGAGTGTTTGCCCATAGCAGGGACCCACACTGCAGCAGTGTTGGGAGCAGTGTTTGCCCATGGCAGGGACCCACACTGCAGCAGTGTTGGGAGGAGTGTTTGCCCATAGCAGGGACCCACACTGCAGCAGTGTTGGGAGCAGTGTTTGCCCATGAAGAGTGACCCACACTGCAGCAGTGTTGGGAGCAGTGTTTGCCCATGGAAGAGTGACCCACACTGCAGCAGTGTTGGGAGGAGTGTTTGCCCATGGCAGGGACCCACACTGCAGCAGTGCTGGGAGGACTGCTGCTCCTGAGAATGTAGCCACAATGGAGAGGTTCATGGGGAAGTGTCTCCTGTGGGAGGGACCCCAGGGTCTCACAGGGGAAGGACTCCTCTCCCAGAGCAAGGGAAGAAAACCTCGGGTGATGAACTGACCAAGATCCCCACCCTCCTGTCCCCCTGTGCTGTGGGTGGGAAGGACAGAGGGGCTGGGGGAAAAAGGTGTTCAAGGCCTTATTTTACTTCTCATTATCCCCCTCTAATTTTGTTAGTAATAAATTCACTTTCCAACTTAAAGTTGAACTTGTTTTGCCCTTGAGGTGTTTTTTCCCGGTCCTTATCTCAACTCATGAACCTTTTGTTATTTCTTTTCTCTCTCCTCTGCCCAGCTGTGACAGGGGAGGGTAATCCAGGCTCTCCTGGGTACCTGGTGTTGGGCAGTGCCAAACCAGACATGTTGATACTTACTTTTACAAATTTACCATGGAGGAGATATGGAGACTGGAAGTCGTGTTGACAATTGGAATAAGCCATTCCTAACCCCATCCCTGACCCAAATGCAATAGGCCATGTCTTTCCTGTGGAAGAGGCAAGCACAGAGGAAAATGTGAAGTCAAGGAAAGCTGTTTGTTATGTAGAAAATCCTCCAAACCAGCCCACTACAGAAGAAGAAGAGGAACAGGAACACGTGTTTAGAACTTAACAGAGAGAATGTCTGAATTCAAGGCATTACTGAACCTGATTCTGTTTTAAAGCCCAGCTGAAGAACTAAGATCAGTTTTACAGCCCTGGTGAGGCTGGCATACACTGATGTCTAGACACAGCTCCAGTGATTTGGCTCAGGCTCTCCTGCCATTCCAGGATTCCAGCTGAGCACAGGAGGAGCTCAGGGAGGTGCCATGGATAACAACCTTGTTACACAACAGCTGCAAGTTTTGGGAACTCCATTTCAATGGAAAAGACAGGCCAAACAATGGAAGAATTGGTCTAACAAGCTGATTAACTTCTACATGCCTCAAAGGCTTCTAGCTGTACCTACACCAGAGGGACAGTGGGAAGCCAAGCAGCCAAGATTAATGCACTGTACTTACTCTTGAAGAAGATGACTGAGAAAACAATTCCTAGTCCAAATCCAGCACCTGTAAGAAGAAATGCAGTGGGTGAGGAAAAAGATAAAGCAAAGTCATGGAAAATGATTTAGTTCTTTACAGTAAGTCTTGATTCCAACTCAGGAATATCAGACTATGAACATCAGACTATGACTATCCAGCTACATGTTATTTCAGCACACCCAACCAGAGAGTTCTTACATAACAAATCTGAAAAAACCAATTCTTGTTTTCTTAAGTAACTGTAAGCAGCTAATTCACATTAGAGTCCCAACATATGTAATAAGTACATTATCAGAAATATCTGGGGAAAAAACCAGACTCTCATCCTAGGGAAAGTTCCTGAATTTCTGTCACCATCTACAATGTGGAATCAAAATTTATTTGGCTCATTGTCAGCAAATGAGAAACATTTTAAATGAAAACTTATTGTGTCCTTGAGCTTCAGATTCTGCAGATGAATATCTCATTGTATTTCGTTTATCTCACTACTTTAAGTGCTTCAATGTGTGTCCCGAGGGCAGCAGAACTTTGAAGCTTTGTGTTACCCTATACCTTACAAAGAAAGCTCCAGGCTGCTTATCTTTCACATCCCCAACATTCATTATGGAGCATATTTAAACACATTAGGAATGAATGACTTTTCACATCCTTATGTTATACATAGAAATAACTGCAGCAGTTGAAACAAAATTATTCAGCGTCACTAAAAAAACTCAGCATATTTAAAAATAATCTTTTGCTTTCCTTGGAAGGTGAGCTAATGATTTTATGTAAGATGTCAGGCAAGTCTGCAAAACTCCTCTCAGGACCCAATAAATATCATAGTGAAAACATGCAGCTGAGTGGGCAAATTCTACCTTTAATTATGTCCACTGAAGAGAAGAATTTTAGATAAGGCACGGAAGTACAGAAGTTTGAAAAAAGAAAAAAAATCAGTCATGCACATCCTCATTAAAAAAACAAACCAACAGCTTCAGGTTTATTTTGCAGCAAACACATCCTGTTATAGGTTTCAACTCTCTCCTTTCAATACAAGAAATTAAATATTATGAGTTTGCTAATTAAAATACATCCTTTTTTTATATTCCTAAAAGCACATGGTCCTGTTGAATGCATTAGTTACTGGGTTGAGTACAGAACAATGCCAAGGAATCCTGTACTCTCGTGGTATATAGGATGCTGGTTTTTTGGTTATTTTAAGTTTCCTTGTGCTCTTCAAAATGTTTTCCTTGTAAAAAATACATTGATAGTTTGTATTGAAGAACAGACTAGCAAAGAATACTTGACATCCTCAGTACATTAGGATGCACCACCTTGTACCTTAACTAAGCATCCCACGTTTTTGTTGATGATAAACCCCTGAATATTAGGGCAGAGGTAAGCAAACATGATCTGAGCAAAGCACCCCACCTTCACTCTCTGTTAGCACTTTACTCTGTGTATTTACTGAGAGCTGGAAAAGGCTTTGAAAGCCCTTTTCATGTTACTACAGATTGTCAGTTGTGCCAGAGGTAACTACTTTACCAGGTCATTACAATGGGGAGCAGGCGTACAAAACATGCAGGAGGAGCTCTGCCCGCTGCCAGGCAATGCTGACATAACTCCCCAGACACCGCAGAGCCCGGGCGCTGCACTAACGGTCAGGCCTTCACCCTAATCATTTGCACAGCCAAGGGAAAGTCTGGGATCCTCAGGTGTCTGCTCAGAGCTCCAGGGTCTGTGCCTTTCAGACTGTAAGAGACTCCTTGGAGCGGCTCATTGAGAGCTGAGCACTGAGCAATGCTCACCACAGCCTGGAGGAGACACCAGGCTCCCCTCAGAGCTCACCCCCCAAGCCCCAGCAGAGCCCTTCGGTGCTGCAGTGCAGCTGCTGCTGGCTCTCACAATGATTATGCCACCCAGGATTATTACTCTCCTCCAGGACCCATCCTGGTTGGTGCCCTGGCCTGCATCCTCTGCCAGTCCCTACTGAGCTGGTTTGCTCTGGGCTGCTCAGAGCTGATGAGGATTTGCTGGAGGGATTCTCTCTGCTCAGGCAGCACCAGGACTGTCTGAAGTGCCCAGCTCAGCAGCCCTGCCATGAGGGAGCAACCCTTGTCCTACACTTGCTGTCCCTGGGAAGATCCCCCTGCCAATCCAAACAGCTTAGCTAATCAATGAGAAATCATGTACAGGATGACAAATCCTGCATCATCTCCATGCATAGCCTGGGCAGTTTCTAATGTCACCACATTTTCCATGTCACCAGTCAAACCCACGTTCTCCTCACCAGCCTGGTGCTGAACTGCTTCCTGTCTTGCATTAACACAGCTCTGCACTAAGGAAGCAGCTATAATTAATACAGTTGCTTTCCATTTACTTCCAGAAATTATCATTATCTCGTATTCTCTTCACCTCCTTCAGATGTTCTCTGACATTACAGCCCCTCTGTAAAGGCTGCACTCACATGCCATCAATGCTGCTTCCTGTTGGCCATGGGGGAAGCTACAGGATACACTTAAAAGGTGAAGAATTTATTATTTATGTCAACTGCAATTCAGACTAAGTCTAAAACACAAACTTGGCCTTCCCCCACACCAACACCACTGTTAAACAGATGTGGTCCAGCATGACTGGCTTAGGAAAAACTACTCTGCCTTAAGGAAGCTTTTTCTGAAGCAGCTCATTTGAAAGGATTGTTCTTCTTCATGCAAATGCATTTTTGTGCAATTTTGTGCTATCACTGCACTTTATTCCAGCTGTAAGAAGTCTACAGCAACAATGAGTACCAAAAAATGATGGGAGGATGGCTAAGACCTTGCTTTAAGTAATGGAAATGCTACAGAGAAGTGAAGGAGGAGATCTGACAGCTAATGGGTTCTGGCCTTCTGTGCAAGAAGGCAGCTTGAGAAACAAAGCCAAAAAAGCACCTGAGCTTTGCTAATCTGCCAGGCAGCTTGGGTCACCCCTTTCCTGAGGCACAGCCTGTGAGCACAACGCCCTGGCCACGAGGAACACCAGCTCTGCCCCTCACACCAGGCACTGCATGTACAGCATCTGCTCTTTTCTACTTGGCTTCACCAGTCAGGAGTTGGTTTTAACTCCAAACCAGAGCCTTCAGCTACATTTAATTCCTTAGCCTGTCTGCCTAAAACCTCTTTCTGCGGGAAGTTTGTCACTCATCTTCATTCCACTAGAAAGTATTTGTGGTTATGTGGTCATTTCCTGTGTCTCCAAGACCAAGGGGGAGCAAAACCATCTTGCCTCGGGAGCAAAGTAATGCATTTCACTTTAATTCTATATAAAGTTACAGCAGAGATAAACAATGGCAGAGCTGCTGATGAGTTTTACAGGTTTAAGTTCTCACATGCTCCATTTCCTCCTAAAGAGGCAACATGTCGCTTCAAAGAGCCTCCCACCTGACCAGGGGATGCTCCAGCTGTTCCTCCTAAAGATCAGCACCTCTAGGCCAGGCTTTAACTTCATAACAATGAAACATGAAAGGTTTATCTTACAATAAAAACAAACGAACATGGAAAAGCAAAGGGCTTGATCCATGCCAGGCACATTTTCCCTCCCTTTCTTGCCTGACAGACTCTTTGGAGGAAAAGGCCACAGGAAAGAGTACAACCCATTTTTCACCTTCTCTGACAGTTTAAAATGTTTAACTAGAAAAACAGCCTCTTCCAGCCCACATTCATCACTGCAGCCTAAACTCATTTACAGTGTCAACAGGGGACAGGACACTTGTGAGGACACCTCAGCCCTGCTCCCCCTGTGCAGCACAGCCACACGGAATTGGCATTAGGCAGCAAGCCCAGGCACCAAAACTCTTTCTTTCTCCTTTTTTGGCTCCTACACCTTCCAAGAAAAACCTCCCAGTACCTCCAATCAATCTAACACGCAGGAGAGCACACGCTGTATGCCCAACAGGACATCATAAAAGTGTCTCAGAGAGAAACACAAATCTTCAGGATGGGCTCCTGCCCCGTAAGAACATCTGGGAAAAGCTTTTTCTATAAATTTAATCAGCAGTCACTCCAACAGTGATCCTACACGGTTCTTTCCTAGGCTACCCAAGTAGCTGCAGGCTGAGGCAGCTACTAACACAGCCACACCTAGATGTACTTTGCTTCAATAGCTTGAAACTTAAAATAGAAGGATTAAAATATGCTCATTGACATCTGGCAGATGTGCTGCTGTTACTATAGCAGCTGGAAGGTTTTCAATTACTTAATTCCAAAACGAAAGCTGTTCTTTTCCTTTGCCATTGCACACACACTAATACAAAACTGAGAGCTTCAGCCTCCAATCCCACTCTGACAAGATACCTAAAGAATTGCTTTGTAAAAATGTGGAGGGAAGCTGCCCTCATACACCAGGGCTTCACAGGACAGCACTTAGCACCAGTTAGAAATCCGAGACCATGAAATCACTTATTTACAGAGAGAATTAATTTCAAGCAGACTCTTTGCAAGGTCTTAGTGGCAGGAATCAGATTTTCTTCAAACACCAACTTTGAAGCTTTCATTCCCATCTCCCCTGTGGTGTGGATTGTTTGCAGAGCAGACAGAAAAATGAGCATGGACACTAGAAGAAAACACAGTGAAATTATATACCAAGTACTCAAGAAAGAAGCAGAAAAAAGAGAGTTTTGTTTTATACTAGCATCTAACTGTAGTAACAGAGAAAAATTGGAATAACAAAATATTAATATCCAAATATCATTATAATCAAAAATCCCAACATGCTTTCAGGGCTTGCTTTCACCCTTAAGCACTCAGGGTCAGGTCAAATGCTGCTCAAAGGCAAACCCTGGGTAAACACCAGCACTGCTGCAGAGGCACAGGCAGCAGCACCAAGGTGTGTGATGTCCCCAGGAACCACAGTGACACCAGAAACTCCAACATGACAACATCACAGCACAGTGACCTGCACCAGAAACTCCAACATCACAGCCTCACAGCACAGTGACCTGCACAAGAAATCCAACACCACAGCACAGTGACCTGCACCACAAACTCCAACATCACAGCCTCACAGCACAG